ATAGATAGATAGATAGATAGATAGATAGATAGATAGATAGATAGATAGATAGATAGATAGATAGATAGATAGATAGATAGATAGATAGATAGATAAAACAGAACTGAGAATCCACAGATCTGTGTCAGCGTGTGCCCTGTGTTTCAAAAGTGACTACTAAGGAGTTCAAAGCGGAAAGACAAAGAGCCAAAACGAACAAAAATGAAAGCGTACGAGAAGGATTTGCTCTGCTCCATATCCCTGCCAGGTTACAGGCACTAACATTCAGAGATGCCAGGGTGTCTTTTAAGGGCACAGCCTCATGCACGCACCGTCGTTTAATTCCCCATCCAGGAAAAGTGTTTCTGGAAGGTTCCACTTTTCTGCACAAATCAGGGGAAATGAGTGAAAGCAACAAGACCCTCCAAGAAATGCTCGAGGTATGTCATTATGTCACCCACAAAGGAAGGTCTATTCCATTTAGGGTTGGAGCCACAGGCCATTTGGCCCACACACACACAAATTGCACCCGCACAACTTTCAGCAGCCAAGCACACAAACACGGTCTCATTCCTTTGCCAAATTGTAATGCAGAAACTTTGACCCACGAGCACACATGAAAAGAAAATGCCACTGCAAAACAGGGACCCTTGGAGGAGGCACTTGTTGACCTCTGGCCCCGCGAAGCAAGGCACTGCGTCACTGTCCGGTGTGTGTTAACAGATAGGTGTCCGGTGCAGACTTGCTCAGGCCTAGAGCAGATGGAAAGATTTGTCATCTGCTGACCACTTGAGCAAAATAATCTCTTGAGTCATTTTTCAGTCTGGTTTTGTGATGGAGACACAAAATAATCAAACCACAAACACTTGCAACACAGAAGTCAGTGTGAGCATCATCCAAGACATTTTTTGGGCGTTACCATCGGCAGGTCATCGAGCTGAAAGCAATCAGTTGTAAGAAACATTCATTACAGAGTCATTCCTGTTTGACGTATGAGTTTGTGCTGATTCCAACATATTTGAATCAGTTAATATTTAACAGGGATAATTTATCAGAGGATAAACCCTCTGTAGCCTCACAGTTAGGTCTGCAGACCTGCAAAGTCCCGAGCTCTCCTTCGTTGCTTGAAAGTCACTGATTACAATGTGGGTGGACATACTCAGCAGGACTGTGTAGCAGTCAGGGAGCCTAAATCCCAAATCACCTTGAAGTGCTATTAGCACCTGTTGTGGTCATTTACACCCGCTGACAGCCCCCCCCCTGTTTGGCCCTAAAAATCTGTCTGCACACCAAACAACTGCTTTGTGCACCAGGTTAAAACTCCCCGCTGTGCAGAAAGAATCAGCTTTTACACAAACCTGCCTCACAAGACTGATGCATACATATAAAGGGACTTTATGAATACATGTGACGAATATGTTAGTAGTAATTATTGTTCATTGATTCTTTTCCAAAACAGCAGATATATTTGTTCACCATCAATCTTTATCTTAATTTCTAACTTCCTGGTGGAGTGTATTTTATTATATTCTACACCCATCAATCAGCGGCCTCATTTCTTGCAAACAATAGCTGCTTTAGACAAACAGCATCACCAGATGATGAATAGTTTTGGCTTCTGGTTGGGGGGGGGGGGGGGCAAGTACTTACAGGCATGGGCACCAGCTATGAGCCATGTATGAATCTGTACCTCAAAGCACTCTTGTAATAAATTTGAAACGACAGGTCACTGATGTTCCTACATAGGCTGACTTTTCCTTTAGAAACAGAGGGCAGGCCAAACTGAAAGCAACAGGTGTCTCATTTCCTTCCCAATAAACTGACTTAAATGCGCTGAAACCGGAGCGGTGCGCCTTCTCCCCTCATGTTAAATGACAGGATCCATAAGTTGTTCGCGTGAAGACGCCACCGCGGCTTACCTTCGCACAGACAGCGAGGAGAACCAGGCTAGTCGTCCACAAACAGCTCCCACTCATCACGGACGCAAACAAACTCTTAAGTAATTTCAAAGCGTTGATAGACGGCTCTGATCGCCCGCTCTATGTCCCAGCCTGCCCCAGTCACTCGGGGAGAAAGAGGTCCGCTCGTCTCTCCGCGCTGCGCTCCGGCTCCAGTTTCCAGGAGAGCGAGAGAGGAAAAAGGTAAAAGTCAGCCAAGAGCGGACGGAGACAGCATGACAGTCCACGGTCGCTTCCAGATATTTTGTTCCCCCGGCAAACACGTTGCTGCTAAATTTATGTTTGCATACCAGGCGTGCGTCAGGAAAAGGGTCTCACCCACCTTACATTCTTAAAGAAACACACTCCCGGGTCGTTACGCGCCGATGTGCAGCTCAGCGCAAGACGCGTGCAAAGCTGAAGTGATGCTTTTATGGCTGTGCGTTATGGCTGACTTTCACCGAATGGATGACTTGCATTAGATCACTTGTACTAAGCTGTTTCCCTCCTCACTGTTTACCTGTACTCAGAAGTGCTTGTATTGAAACTTAAACCAATGACTAAATAGATCATGCGCACAGTCATTCAACAGGGGACTCAACGCTGAAAACTCCAGCTTCTTTTCAACGTTAATCCCAATTTCAAGGCCGTGTTCATATCCAGTCACGGGTTTTGGAAAGGTTGACCTCAGTTCAGGGACAACTTCAAACCCACAAAGACTTTTTAGACACATGGTTGCTTCATTGTAGCAGAGCACTAACAGCTCGTTTGTTACATGAGGGGTTGGAATGTTTGCTGCTTTTTAATTATTCAAAGAAATGACTCATCCTGAAGGTAGAAGAGCACAACAGAGGTCCACTCCTCTTTCTTAAACCCCACAGATCCACAGGCTCAAGCTGGAACGTCTTGTGCTGTCGGCTGTGCGCCGGTTAGGGATTGTGCCTCCTTTATCACAGCTTTAGTATGAAATGCATTAGTCTTTCAAGTTAGGCATCCCATGCTGCCAACCATGTGCCATTTAAGGTCAGGAAGAGTTTTATCTAAATCAGGCTCCCACTGCTTAAGAACTGAGATCAACCAGATGGAATGAGACGTTCATAGCCCTGGCCTTTGCTGGCATATGATTGAAATCTGAGGTTGTTTCTGGTTTAGCCTGATGAGACCCATGTCATTGCTTTAATGAATCATATAAAGTGGGTCATATTTTTTGTGGAATTTGATATTGGTCTGTTGTATCCTTGGACATGAACATCACATACTTTCTTAATGTGTGTCCAACCTGGGGTCGGATATTAACCCAAACAGATACAATTCAAGTTGGACCAGGCGAACAGCTAAATCACTGTGGAGGGCATTTTGACCTCATTTTAAAAAATTTTTAGTCTTTTTTTTCTTACTGACTCAGAAAAGAGCCGCAACGTATTCCACTTCAACAAAGAAGGAATTTTGTTTTATAATTGATGGCTCGGGCTGGCAACTCCTCTTCCGTTTGATCCCGTACCTTCATTAAAATGAGAGACACTCTCGTCCTTTGAAGCCTAGCCCGCAGTGGTGGGGCATTAAGGCTCGCTTGTCGCTTTTGAAGATGTCCAGGGCCACCGTAATAACAACGTTCCTAGAAAATGTCATCTGTCCTCAGCCGAGCTTTAAAGAAATGCCCCCAGAGGCAAAAAATAGCACAGGTATGTATGGTATGAGCTACCTGAATTGCTGCCTGACACGCAGGCTTAAATTCAGCTTAATCTCTATTAAAACACCGAGCACAAGAATGTAAATGTTTACTTCCAAAGGAGAATGAGAGAAGGGGTGGGGGGAGGTTTTTACCTGAAGACTGTGGTGAGAGTTGAAATCATTTCCTTCTCCACCTCGGGGTTAAATGATCATCCTTAATAGCTGCTTGAAACTGTAATCCTACCTGCTCATGTCTTACAAAGAGGAAAGACTCCAGGGCGTCCCGATGAACTCTGACCACCCCTCCTGGTACCCGAAGAGCAGCGCAGACACCCCACAAAGTCAGACCAAGTGGCAGATAATGCTCGGAGACATGAATAGTTTACATTCACTGTGACTGGCGGTGCATGGCTAAGCTACGTCCTCATGTTACTCTCATTGATGGACACATTCACCGGGATCCCTTGCTCAAAGCTCCCATCAGCAGAGTTGCAAAATCACTGCCTTGGGGCGCAAATGTATTTTTAGAGGCTGTACATGCTTCAAAAAGGCATCTGCAAGTTGTTTGCTCAACAGATCTTACAGGACTTCTCTGTGTGGGAAGACAAATAAGAGGCCGAAGCAGCAGCTAATCACAGTCATTTCGCTGGGATCTTTTGTTTGAATGCAACGATGCCCTGAATGCTCAGTGACACTTTTTTTTCTTGCTTCTGGGCGTTTTTAGAAGCGCCTATTACGTTCCATGAACACGCAACCGGCATGACTTTACGAGCAGAAAATGGGGCCACAGTATGTACAGTACATGTATGTGTGGGGTTTTCCTGGCTAAACACACTCAGAGAAGGTCAGCACTCAGCATATGACTAACCCGGTTGTCTCACTTTAGCTGACTCCAACCTTTAGGTCAGTGATATTTGGCCGGAGAGTCAAAGAGCTGCGTTTCACATGTGTTCAAAGAGAGGGGAGAGAATTTGCCAGATACAACGGAAAGAATATGCCCTTCACAGGACACCAGATTTTGTGTTAAAGAGGTAGCAAGCAGATTTTTAAATCTTTTTATTTTTCCACCAAAGCAATCATGTTTTGGAAGTATAGTATATGTTTTACTGATCTTCAACGAGGGGGATTAGACAAGACAGCCGACACCTTTTTGCTATTTACAGGAGGCATCATATAGTAAATTTAGCGGCTTTAAGCTGGTAGCAAGGCTGTCTCCTAAAGTGGTAAAACCTTTTTTAAGTAGCCTGTGACTATGATTATTACTTACTAGACAAGATAAGAGCGGACTCCACCTAAGAACTTCCCAAAATGTCAAAGTTCTGCATCACAGAGCACATAAACTCATGTTTTGTGGCTCCTGGTTTCCAAACCCTCCTCTGCACGCAGTTTAACGCCACTTGGTTGTCTCATCAATCCTGATTGCCTTTATGGCTCCGTGGAATTTGGCACGCTATCGGTCCGTGTGTGTTTGTACGTGTGTGTGCTCATGCTTGAGACTCCAAAGGAAACGAAAGCCGTTGCCACTGCTGGGCCTCAGCGTCCCGGGAATGCCGGGCCCGCTAAGGGTAAAGTAACCTGTCTGTCTGTCCGTCTGTCTTTCAGCAAAGATCTGTTTCAGACTGCAGGCGTTGACTTCCATCGGGCATGTTGTGTCCACTGCATGCTGTCTGAGGGCATCATGCCACAAACAACCAGTCAGAAATGTTGACAGTGGGCAAAACCCTCTTTGCGCTGCAGCCAGTGATCAGTCAGCCTGCCTGAGAAACTGAAGATGTTGTTGTTGTTTTCCTCTCTCTTTCTCTTTAAGGAAGTATCTAACTACATACAAATCTTGGCTTATGGCCGAAGTTAAATATGATGCTTGATGAATAGTCAAAAAATTTGCTTGAACAGCTTAGTGATGAATAACGTTGGCTGGCGTACAATAAGATTAGGGCACCATACCACATACATCCAGCATATCCAGTTTTCTGATGAAAGCAGTAACCTGTGATACAGTATCTGATATGTCCTCATCAGATTTTCCATGGATATTACAGCTCAGCAAACACAATCAAGCAGCTATTAGAAAAGAGACAGGGCAGCAGAAAACGACATTTCTGGTGTAGATGAGTCTATTGTTACAGTAAATCTGCTACAGCCCCGATGCTGGCAGGAGATATGAATTGTGTTATTTAGGGCAAAGAGGATGAAATATCTATGGGGAATGGGAAAATAAGTGGAAAAGCATATTTTCACCTTCTCTTTTGTCTTTGTGATAATTTGCCTCGTTTTAGCGCTCTAAAACCCAGGCACTGATTTTACTCATGCTGCTTTTAGAAAGCCTCTGCCTGGCAACAGCTTTCTCTGTTCATCTATCCATTTTACACCCATGGATCTGTTGTTTAAAACACTTATTTAAGTCTTGGTTGTTGGGTGTTATCCTTGCTTTTGTTGGGTTAGACACAGGGCACATACTTTTATATATATAAACAGTGCAAGAATAACACTAACTATTTCATCATACCCATATCATTTTAATTTGTAATTATAAACCACACTTTGCATTTTTCCACCTTTAAAAAAAATTAAACAATCAAAGTTTAAAAACATTCATCACTGAATAAAATGGGGTAAAACTATGACTTCCAGTTAGTACACATGGCATGAATATGGTTATAAAAGTACCTGTAAACACTAGAGCGTCCTCAAAGTTGGAGCTACGGGCTACATCAGTAACTTTACATCATGAAATATAGAAAAGTTCAGAACAGACAGAGGAACTGAAAAATCAGATTGAGAGCTTTCAGAGACGTGAGATCGGTGAGCAGCCAAAACGCAGTTGAAACACAGTTGCAGCAGTAATTATGTTGTGTAGACAGCCAGTCTACCTCTTATCAGCGCTGCAGTAACTATCCTCTGCCATGGCCACTGCAGTGCACTACTCCACCATATTAGTTGAAAAGCTAGGGCTGTGCCTTTCGACTTGGCACATGAGATATCAATGGGAATTAGAGTTTGTGTGACACTGCGCTACGTCATCCTCTGTGCACAGAGTCCAAGCCAAGAAACCTTCCTTTGCATTCAGCACAAAAGTGCCAGCTTAAACTTCACTGAAGGTGAAAAGAATACTGACAAATATGAAGACTTTTGATGGTAACATGGATACCTCAAATATAAAGAAACACTGGCTGGCACGGTGACTCCAATAATCCCCCAGAATAGCAAAATATTCTAGCATGGCAACGACACCCTGCCAAAATCAGAGAGAGCTTCTGAAGACGAAAAAATCTGACATGAATCCAATAAGACACCTTAGAGCTAAGAGTAAATATAAGGCCTCCAGAACATAAAGGATGCAGAACATGCCTCCAGAAATGCGTGCACTATCAAGATCCTCAGTGATGAGGAGGATGGAGTCTGTCATTATAAACACGGGGGACATATCAAGTACAGAAAAAAAGAAAGATTAGATCTCAGAGATGAAATGTATACTGACCTTGTTGTTGGGCCGTCTTACTGCTGTGGAGCGCCACCAAGAGAAACCAAACCCCTCCATTCAGCTTGGAGATAATGACAATGCTGTAAGGTTATAACATAATTCAAATCATTTGACATTTAAGGAATTTACTTTAATGTATGCACAAAAGCAAATTACATCAAAAGTCTGTTTCCTTCTAGGATTAA